GGCAGGCAGGGAGGGGTGGCCGGTAAGGCTGGGTCAGACAGCGTGCATGTCCGAGTCAGAGCCCATTCCCAGCAGCTGCCCCACCCAGCCAAGCCCCTGGGGACTTCGTGGGGCCAGAGCCTCTCACAGACCCCACTCTGAGTGGCAGGGCCTGGCGCCAGGCCTGAGCTCAGAGCAAGCCCTGCTCCTTTTAAAGCCATGGGGCCAGAGAGGAATGTGGAGACCGGCCAGGCTCATGCAGCTCCCAGGAGCTGCAGCCCAGACCTGCTGCCTCCAGGCTCCGGGCGCAGGAAGGCCTGTGCCCACCCTGGGGCATGAGGGGAAGGTGGACCTGGGGCCCTGGGCCTCGGCATCCTCCCTGTGACATGGGCACTGCTGAGACATGTCCTAGGGTAGTTGCAGGGAAGTGAGCGTTCATGCATACACAGCCCCCAGAGGGCCTGTGAAATCCCCCTCGCCCTCGTCCGAGGCCTGGGCTTCCGGAGCGCTATTGTCCCAGCCCCCACAGCTCATGGCCAGGAGCCAGAGCCAGGGGTCAGGGCGGCAGTGAAATATGCCGGGGACCTGGGTTCTGCAGCCCGCACAGGCGGGAAGGCCAAGAGAAGGCACCCAGGGTGTGATGTAGGCTGGGGAGGCGTTCTTGGACCCCTGTCTTCCAGAAGGGAAACTGAGGCCCAGATTGGGGAGGGGCGGGTAGGCTCGGAGACTGTGGGCCAGGCTCAGAGTCCTCGGTCCACCCCGCAGTTGCCAGCTCCAAGGCGCCCGGCGGTGGGAGTGCACAGCCACCCGAAGGCCACCCAGGCAAGGCGGAGCCCGGCCGGGCCAAGTCTCGCCTCCTGCCCAACATGCCAAAGCTGGTCATCCCCTCGGCCGCCACCAAGTTCCCCCCCGAGATCACCGTCACACCGCCCACCCCGACGCTGCTCTCGCCCAAGGGCAGCATCTCGGAGGAGACCAAGCAGAAGCTGAAGGTGACCGAGGGTGCTGGGCAGGGGGCAGGGGGCAAGGCTGGGGCTGCAGGGGGCCTGGGGCCAGGCCGGGCCTCCCTGACCAGTGCCCTGCCTGGTCTGCAGTCGGCCATCCTGTCTGCCCAGTCGGCCGCCACCGTGCGGAAGGAGCGCCTGTGCCAGCCAGCCCTGGAGGTCCTGGAGACGTCGAGCCAGGAGTCCTCGCTGGAGAGTGACACGGACGAGGAGGACGACTACATGGACATCTGAGGGGCCCGCGAGGCCCCCGGCTGCTCGGCCCCTCTCCTGCGTGGCGTCCTCCGGCCCGCTGGGGTCGGGGACTGTCCCCACCAAGCGGGACCCAGAGGAGCGAGCTCAGCCACGTGAAAATGGATGCACGGGTCGAAGTTCGCACAGGCCGGCACCCTTTTCTATGAAATGTTGGCTGTAAATGTGCCCGAGCCCAGCCTCGGAGGCCGTCCACACCTCGGTGCCCGGACCAGCCGGGCTCTGCCCACGCACCACAGGAGGGTCATTTAGGGCCGGGCTCACCCCACTCCCTTTTTTGGTTTCTTTTTTAATAAAGATGGAGCAGTTCTTTTTGCCTCTTCGTTCACCCCTCCCCCCCCCCCAGGGCCTCCCTTAGCTGATTGCTGTCCAGCGTTTCTGGGCTGCGCCCCCAGGTCTGGGTGCAGGCCTCAGGTACCCCAGGGAGCGGGTGATGGTGCTCAGGTAGGGGAAGTCAGCACAGGCCCGGGAGCCAAGCGGGACAGGCCCTTCCGGGAGAGACTGGAGCCAGACCTGGGGCGGGTGTCAGGAGCGTCCCCCGGAGGACATGGAGGTCTGAGGGCTCGTCCCTCTGGAGTGGGGGTGGGGGAGGCTGCGGGAGAGGGGAGGGCCCAGGCTGTGCTGAGGAGCTGGCTTGCATCCCAGTGTGACAGGGTCCTGGGGAGTCCTGAGGGGCAGGGTCTGTGTCAGGAAGGGTGAGTTGGGGGGCGGAGCAACGGGGGCTGGAGGGAAGGGCACTTACCTCCCACTGAACTTGGCCTCTAACAGGACCAGCCACGTAAGTTGTGGGGTTCAGTGCAAGACACAGAGTGGGGACCCTTGCTGGTGACGGCAGAGCGATAAGCCCGCCTTTGGTGTTGGTCTTGCCCTCCCAGGCTCAGGTCCATCTGTTTTGAGAAGGCACAGGTTTAAGGAGGCCCAACCCGTCCTTCTCCACACTGTCAACGCCCACTGGGGGCCCAGCTGCCCACAGTCCTGGGCTGGCTCTGCCCCTGGGCCTCCCCTCAAAGGCTCTGTCCAAGATGGAGGCGGGGACCCACCTTGGTGCTCTCTGCCCCTCATGGTCTGGACACCTCGTGCCCCCAGCCCAGGCCTGGCAGAGCCACTGGGGGACCCAGAAGCACAGCCGCCTTGGATGGGTCCTCCCCGAGCCTGCTGTGTCTGGGCCCTCTCAGGGCCGCCTGGGGCTGAGTTCCTCAGCTGACCCCCTCCCCCCTCCCCCAGCAGGGCCCAGGGCGCAGAGGCCCCCACGCCGCACTCCCAGCCTCTCGACTTTTTCCATCCTTCCCCTCCTGCGCCTGCAGCCAGAGGGCTCAGCCTGGAGAGAGGAAACAGCAGCCTTCCCTTCTGGTCCTCAGCCCCGCTCCCTGGGAACAACCCAGCCATCTCCCAGGGCCTCCCCTTCCCGGTTGCACGGCACCTCAGACCGCCCCAGGAGCACTCCCACCCTCTTCCTTCCCTAACCGGTGTCTGGTGTCCGAGGGGGCACCCATGGCCCTGGGCCTGGCACGAGTGTCAGCAGCAGCCCCCAGCTGGGTGTCTGGGCTGCTTCTGGGGCAGGCCTCGGTGCCCACACCCTCTGTCTGTACTGGGAAGGGGGCCTGGCCCGGGGCTTGGTTTTGAGGGTATGTTTATTGAAGCTGACCATTAATTTTGACAATGAAACAAGGGCTTAGGATAGAAGGAGTGAAACTGAAAAAGACACCATCATTCGGGCTGCCGGCCATACCAAGCCCGATCAGCAGTGACAGCGATTGGCTCTTCACGGGCACTTGATTCAGACGACCGGCGATCCGAGAGGATGGCGGGTCACACCCTAACAGACCATCTTCCCTTTTCTTTCCAGGCCAAGGTTTTTATAGCAGGGAATAAACAAGGTGAGGTGAGGGGTTTTGAAATTCCTGGAAAAGGTAATTGGATTAAAAAATGATGTCCTCATTCTCGCTGTGGGCGGTGGCCTTACACCGTGCCCCAGGCGGTGGTCCTCTCACCCTGGAGCACTGGCTCAGATACCATCTTGAGTTGCCTGCAGTCCTCCTGGGGCGCAAAGGTGGGACTGCTTACGGTCTCCCGCAGTCAGGGTGGGTCATACTTGCAGTTCCCGGAACGAAAGTTTTTATAGGCATTGATTACTTAAGCGTATTAGCTATTAAACTAAAATTTTCCAACTCTTAAGTCCCCTATCAAAGCAACAGGAGAGCCAAGGTGGGGCTGCTCTGGCTCACTGGGGAGTCAGATAAAAGGGGACCTTGGGGATGGGTTCAGGGGGTCAGCCCAGGACAAGCTGCTGCTGCCCATTCATTGCTCCCCTGGTTGCAAGTCTCTCGGGGACCCTGGGAAGGGGGGAGATGCGAGTGTGGGGGGAGGAGCGGGAGGGAAGGGCACAGGGAGCTCCCTGGAGAGCACTGGGCATTGCAGCCTGATTTCCTGGGGTCCTATGTTCGGGGATTTTGTAAAGGACAGGAGTTTAGGGGAGAATTCAATAGAATATTCATTAGCTTTTCCAGGTGGGACCTTTGGGTCTCTACTGATTGGCCAGTGACAGGGGGTCATTAGTAGTTGCAGCTGGTCCTGGCCTTGCCCACCCAGTTTTGCTGCTTTCCTGGGCCTGGAGCTGGAATAACTGAGGCCTGGATGTTATCTCCAGGGAGGAAAGGACAAGGGGGTCAAAACCACTTGACCAGGGGTCTGTCTGCCTCAGTTTCCTCACTCCACTTGCCAAGGAATTTTCCTAGCTTCTTACTAATCTGCCTCACGCCTACAAGAGGGGCCCGAGCCCCCAAAACCAAGCTGGGACTCCCCAGGCTTGGGATGCTTGGGGGCGACCACAGGCACGCCCGCCAGTCCAGAGCTAAAGCAGGACACGGCCAGGCAGTCTAAGCTCATGCGCCAGGGTTGGCTGCGGCTCCCAGCGAGGTCAGGGAGGCGTCCCTTCTGGACACCTTGAGAAAATGCCACTGCAGAGAGGACTGTGCCTGTCCCCACACCCGGCCCATGTGATAGGAACCAAGTGCGATCCGGGCCTGGGCCGCCTACAGGCCTGGCTTCGGGGGCTTTCGGATGCTGCCAAGGTTTCCTAGGGCTGCCCTTCTTGTCTGGGCCTCGGTGTCCTCGCCTCCACCACCAGGAGGCAGGGGAGCACAGAAGAGATGATGCAAACTCCTCTGGTGGCAGCATGAGTGGGTGGGGCCGGGCAGCCTCCCTCTAGAACACGGGGTGCTGGTCTTTGCTCCCCATCCTGGGCTCACCCCTCACCACCTCTCTGCAAAGGACGTGTCAACCTGACGGCTTCCGCCCACTGGCCCTCACTCCCCAGGGGCCTCTCCTTCAGTGCCCACGCACCGCCCTACAGGGTAACTGACTGAGTACTAGAGACGGGGCATCTTTGGCAGAAGATCCTAGGGACTGGAATCCTGGGACTGCAAGCGCAGCCTCACCCACCCTAAAGCTCAGTCCCTTGCAGGAGCCCCGCCCTGGCCACCCAGCCCTGGGCCAGCATTGGGATCCATTGTTCAGAGCCGTAGCCTCTGGACATCTGGTTCCTCTAGTGCCAGAAGTCCGACAGCTGGAAGCTCAGGCCCCCTCCCCCATGTTCTAGGCTGGCTGGCTAGGAATGTGTTAACAGGGCAGATTGGGCCCTGCTGGCCCACACGGGCACCTATGGACTTTGAGAGAGAACCAGCAAGAGGGGGGGCGGGGTGGGGCGGGGCCTTGGTGCTGAGCTCGGGAAGGGCGGGGCCAGGCTCTGGGAGTGAGCCAGGCAGCCTCCCAGTCTCCCAGCCACTGCGCAAGCCAGCTGCAGAGGCAGGCCACACCATGGAGCTGCTCCTCCTGCCCTGGGCCCTGCTGCTGCTGGCGACAGCCCCTGGCCCAGGCCCCTGGCCTGCAGCAGGTATGTCCTCACCCTACCTTTCTATCCTCTGCCTTCCATCTGTCTGTTGCAGCCCCGCCCAGGGCAGACACCCCTCTGGGCATCTGCTAGTCTCTCGGGCCAGCTGTGGCTGTACTGGGGGCTGTGGGGAAAAAGTGGGATCCACGGTCAAGGGGCCACCCAGCAGGGATGGGGGACTCCGGGTGGTGCCCACCCTGAACCTGCTGGAAGCCAGGGGGCATTGGCTGCCTGGGAGGGAAGTGGCTAGGCTAAGTGGCTGCAGGCTCGGAAGAGCCTTTGGCCTGTACCCCAAGCCCTGACGGAGGGTGTGCTTGTCCACAGAGGAGCCCCCAGTCCCACTGGCCCCATCTGGCCAGAGGCAGAATGCAGCCTTGTCAGGGTAGAGTGGAACCCCAGAAAGTCTAGCAGAAGATCCACACTTCAGGGCCAGAACTCTACCCCCTGAAGCCCCCTGCTGGGCAAGGCCAAATGTCACAGGCCTCCCAGCCCCCTACCATCCCTATTTCCCTTGCAGGAAAGTGCCACCACCCTTCTGCCACTTAGCTTCCTTACTAGCATCACTCAGCCCCTCCCCCGCTCCTTGAGCCATCACATCCTCAGTCAGTAAACATTTACTGACGCCCTGGAGTGCCCGGCACTGCGTTCAAGTGGGGCCAGCCCGGCCCGGCCCTGACTCGTCCCCTTTAGGGAGTGTCAGGGAAGGGCCGAGTGGCATGTGCGACCCCAGCCTGTGCCCGAACCCCACCCATCTCCACCCTCCAACCTGCCCAGCCCTGCCAGCCCAGGGGACCGATTCCCCGAGATGTAGCCCTGCCAGGAGTCCCCGCAACTGGAGGAAAAGACGAGGGCTGCAGTCCAGAGCCCACCCCTCCAGACCACTCTCCTCTCCTCTGTCCTGGCCAAGCTGGGCCTTCTGCTGGAAACATCCCTCTCCCCAAGAGGAGGAACAAACCCCTCCCCCCTCCCCAGAGGGGGGCCTCCCTTTGGGGCTCCCGGCAGTGAGTCAGCCCTGCCCTGCAGAGCGAGAGGGGCCCGCTCAGCTCAAACCGCTGCCCCCACCTGCCTCCAGTGCGACTCATAGTAGCTACGTACTTAGACCCCATACAGGCAAGCCGAGGGGTCCTCTTCCAGGCTGTGTGTCCACAGAGTCTCAGGTAGTGGAGACAGGGCCCCGGGCCACGTCAAGGGCTCGGGCATCGGTGGCCATCTGGGGATGCCATCGCTGCAGACTTGGAGGCTGAGGGCTCCTTCTGACACCACAGAGCATGCGTCCCAAGGCGCTTCCCCTCTCCCCTCTCACTCCAGCCAACCAGCAGGTGAACGGCTGGGTGATCTGTACTGACAGTTGCCCCAACCCCCAGGCCCTCCTGGTTTCCATGGTGTCCACATGGTGGTCAGTGTGATCCCTGGCCGCATTCTCATGAGCATGCTTCTCTCTGGGACATAGACATGGGGAGGTCAGCCCAGCGCCCGCTGGGGACCGGCTCTCAGGGTCCTCTCCCCCAGATGCCCAGCAGAACTGCTCCCTCCGCTGTGGGGAGCTGGGCCCGCTGTGCTCATGCCACCCGACCTGCGTCGGCCTGGGCACCTGCTGCCCGGACATGCGGCACTTCTGCCTGGAGATCCAGCCCTACTCAGGCTCCATGATGGGCGGCAAGGACTTTGTGGTGCAGCACTTCACGTGGTCCGGCCCCGTCGACAGCGTGATCTGCAGGTGGGGGCACGGGGTCCATGCATGCGGGGGGCCCAGATCCCCCCCCTTCAGCTGGCTGGGTGGGGTCCAGAGGACCAAGGATGGGGACAGCTGGCTGAACAGGCTCCCCAGGAATGTCAGGTGCCCAGGCCTCAGAGAAGGCCAGCCCACCCTTGCCCAGCTTCTCTGCCACCTCCGCCCTCCACAGGTTTAAGGAGAGTGTCCAGACCCTGGGCCACGTGGACTCCCTGGGGCGAGTGCACTGCGTGTCCCCCTTGCTCTACGAGACCGGCCGCATCCCCTTCACGCTCTCCTTGGACAACGGCCGTTCCTTCCCTCGCTCAGGCACCTGGCTGGCTGGTGAGCCCCACCTTGTCGAGCCAGGCCTGTGTACCAGGCTCCACACGCCGCAGGCCCTGGCACCCACGTGGGGACTTCCCCCAGTGTGAATCTGTGCGCACCTGGCCCACCCACGGGCTCCTGCCGTTCTGGCTGAACCAGTCCTCTGGGAGGCCCGCCCAGCTATGGGGTGTGGGTTCCTGTGGCTCCTTTTCCCTCCCTATGATATCCAGACAGGAGTCAGCCCAGAAGGAGTGCAGGCTGCAGGGGTCCCCAGCAAGGTGGGCCAGTGTCTGCCTCCTCAGCTGGGCCCAGCCAGGGCAAAGGCAGAGCCAGATGGAGGCCAGAGGCCTGGCCAGTGGGGAGCAGAGCCCTGCTCTCCTGGCCTCTGTCCTTTCCCACCACCATGGGGGTCTAGGGGACATCACGGCTCCAATGAGACTGCCATACTTTGTCCTTGGGAGGCCCCCACAGCTCTTAGAGCCCCTGGGCCCCCTGGGTCCAAGGTCCTCCCTCACCTCCCCTCTCCTCCTCTCCCCCTGCCCAGTTCACCCCAGCAAAGTGTCGGAGACGGAGAAGAGCCAGCTGGTAAACGAAACCCACTGGCAATACTATGGCACCACCGACGCCAGGGATGCCCTCTCCCTCACCTGGAACACCTCGGCTCTGCCCACCAACCAAGTCACCATCGAGCTGTGGGGCTATGAGGAGACAGGTGAGGCACTCTGCAGGCTGCCTGTGCGGGACCCGGTTGGGTCAGACACTTTGGGCTTGCAGAGATGAGGCAAAGAGCATCACAGGTGGGGAAAGCCCCCCGGAGAGGGGGAAATTCCTGGGGGCACTGGGGGGAGGAATGGCAGGGGCAGGAGGGGTAGAGGAGAGCAGTGCGGGGGCTGGGCCCCTTGGACTCGGGGACAGATGCTTGGCTCCTGCATACAAGGTCTGTCGTGGAAGCAGACAAGGCTCGCTCCCCTCCTCTCTGAGTCCCTGGATGGCTGGCCTGGCCCTGAGCAGGGACAGTGAGGGCCCTGGACTGCAGGGGCGCAGAGGCGGGGAGGTGGTGGTCCCTCCAGCCAGGGTCCTTATGGGAGCAACAGAGAAGGTCCCTTATGGGAGTCATCTGTCCACCTAGCAGGCTTCTGTGAGCACCAAAGGCAGGCGCCAGCACCTCCCCTGCCCCCAGGGTCCTCCGGCCGGCTGCAGGGCTGACTGGGACTTTCTCTCCCTCAGGGAAGCCATACTCAGGGGAATGGATAGCAAAGTGGTCATACCTGTACCCCCTGGCCACAAATGTCCCCAACTCCGGCTCCTTCACCTTCACTCCCAACCCCGCGCCTCAGAACTTCCAGAGATGGGAAGTGGGTGCCCTTCGAATCATCAGCAGCGAACACTACACGGGGAAGAAGTGAGAACGGTGCAGGGGATGGGTGGGGCCCGGGGCCGAGGGCGGGGAGGCAGCCCTCACGGTGCACGCGGCCCCGCAGGGACGTGCACGCGCTCTGGAGCAACGAGCACGCGCTGGCCTGGCACCTGGGCGACGACTTCCGGGCGAACTCTGTGGCCTGGGCTACCAATAAGTGCCTGGCCTGGGAGAAGCTGGAGGACGAACTGCCCAACTTCCTGGGGGAACTGCCTGACTGCCCCTGCACCCTGGCCCAGGCCAGGGCTGACTCTGGCCGCTTCCACGTGAGTCCCTACCCAGGTCTGGGCCCAGGAGCAAGCCAGGGTGCAAGTGGGGCCAGCAGCCCCCACCACAGACCCTGCTGCGCCCGCCCAGAACAGCACCAGGGGAGGCAGACAGATGCCTCGGGTTGTGGGGGAAGGGCCGTTGTGGGACAGGTGATGGGAATGGCAGAGCCTGACACCAGGGCAGGTGACAGCAACCTGTTGCTCTACAGACGGATTATGGCTGTGACATTGAGCATGGCAGTGTGTGCACCTACCACCCAGGGGCCGTGCACTGTGTGCGCTCTGTGCAAGCCAGGTGAGACCTCAGGGGGGTGGGGCATGGGCGGGGCCTGAGGGCGGGATCCGGCCGCTGCTGGGCCTGACGTGTCCTCGCCCCCAGCCCCCAGTATGGCTCCGGCCAGCAGTGCTGCTACACAGCGGACGGCACACAGCTCCTGACGGCCGACTCCACCAGCGGCAGCACCCCCGACCGTGGCCACGATTGGGGTTCGCCCCCGTTCCGAGCACCACCCCGTGTGCCTGGCCTCTCCCACTGGCTCTACGATGTCATCAGCTTCTACTACTGCTGCCTCTGGGCGCCCGAATGCTCCCGCTACATGCGTCTACGGCGCTCCAGCGACTGCCGCACCTACCGGCCCCCTCGCCTGGGTGGGTGCCAGCCAGAGCGGGGCCCTGGGCGAGCCCAGGCCAGGGAGGCTCACCCGACCCTCTACTCTCCCCAGCCTCTGCTTTTGGGGACCCGCACTTCATCACCTTCGATGGTGCCAACTTCACCTTCAACGGGCGCGGCGAATACGTGTTGCTGGAGTCGGGGCTGACCGACCTGAGGGTGCAGGGTCGCGCGGAGCCCAGGACAACGCCTGAAGGTGAGGCCGGGCCCGGGGCCTGGCGATGGCGCAGGGTCGCTCACTGTGGGAGGCTGGAGCTGAGCAGACCCCCTTCTGCACCCACAACCCCAGGCATGCAGGACCGAGGCACAGGGCTGACCGCCGTGGCCGTCCAGGAGGGCAACTCTGATGTGGTGGAGGTCCGGCTGGCCCCCGGGGTGGGGGGCCTGCAGGTGCTGCTGAACCAGGAGGTGCTCACCTTTGCGGAGCAGAGCTGGATGGACCTGAAGGGTGAGTAGGACAGCCCGCCAGCTGAGGTCGGTGAGCTGCCTGCCCTCTCTCCCCTTCCCTTCCGCCTGAGCCTGCACCCCTCTCACCGGCCCTGGCAGGAGACAGGGATGGGGGCCGGGCATAGATGTGGAGACAGGTCTCTCAGGGCATGCTCCGAGCACCAGCCAGCCCCCTTCCACTGAGCCCCACTGCAGAGGGCCAGCACAGTGGGTGTGTGCCCATGGCTGCCTGCAGGCAGACATGGTTCTAGGCCCCAGAGAGCAAAGTCCAGCCTGGAGAACCTGCTCTGACCTTGAGCCTTCGCACCCATGGAGCCGCAAGACACACCCTGATCAGAGCCCTGAGATGCCAGGACAGGGGGCTGAGTCCCACTGGAACCCAGAGTTGCTGGGAGCTGTAGCACCCCGAGGAAGCCGGACTAAGGGTTAAGGAGTGCCAGCTCCCCACCCATCCCCTCCCCTCAGTGGTGCTGCCTCGGCGAACTGAACAAATGAGGTGACTCCCAGGTGGCCTGGGTGGGGACCTAGGACGGGCCTGTTGGCACTGAGAATGCTGGGACCCCTGGAATGGGCAGAGGCAGCTGCCTCCCAGCCAGGGACCCAGGGCCAACAGGCCTGGCCTCAGCATGGGGGAGCTTCTTTCCAGGGCCCGTACCGCAGATCAGCATGGGGGTCCCGGCACCGGTGTGGGCCCGGAGGGGCAGAGTGTCACCGCCAGAGCCTTGATCCTGGGGAGGTCCCGCCCTTCCCCTGAAACCCAAGGGTACAGGTCCACCCATCCTGGGGCTCTGGGGTCACCGCATGGTGACGACAGGAGGCAACCCTTCCCCTGACCTCACTGTGCCCAGGCATGTTCCTGTCCGTGGCTGCTGGGGATCGCACATCCATCATGCTGTCATCGGGGGCGGGCCTGGAGGTCAGCGTCCAGGGTCCCTTCCTGAGTGTGACCGTCCTGCTGCCCGAGAAGTTCCTTAACCATACGCAAGGCCTCCTGGGGACCCTCAATGACAGCCCCACAGACGACTTCACCCTGCGCAGCGGGAAGGTCCTGCCGCCGACCGCAAGTTCTCGGGAGCTGTTCCAGTTCGGGGTTGACTGTGAGTGACCCCGAGACCCATGCTGGAGGAAAGGACCTGGCAGGGGCGGGCCCAGGGCAGTGAGGGGAGACCGGGGCCCTGCCACCAGCCCGGCCTGCTGTGTGTCTCCCCAGGGGCCGTGAAGAATGCCTCCTCCCTGCTCACCTATGACTCTCGGTTGCTGGCCAACAACTTCCTGTATGGGCCCAAGCATGACCCCACCTTCCAGCCACTCTTCCCCGAGGACATCACCCCCAGCCCCGGCCAGGAGACTGAGGCAGACAAACTGTGTGGGGACAACCGTTTCTGCAGCTTCGACGTTGCAGCCACCAGGAGCCTGAGCATGGGCAATGCCACCCGGGTGGCCCACCAGCTGCACCAACATCGTGTGCAGAGCCTGAAGCCTGGTGAGGGTGACAGGGGACGTGGGTGAGGGGGCAGGCACCTTGCACTGGTACAGGGTCCCCAAGGCAGGTGGCTGCAGGAGGCAACCAGTGGGTCGGGGCTATCTGCACCCTGTCCCTACCCCAGTGGTGTCCTGTGGCTGGCTGGCCCCACCTGACAATGGGTTGAAGGAAGGCAGCAAGTACCTGATGGGCTCCACTGTCTACTTCCACTGCAATAATGGCTACAGCCTGGAGGGGGCGCAGGTCAGCACCTGCCAGGCTAATGGCAACTGGTCCTACCCTACTCCGGCATGCCAGCCAGGTGAGATGGCCTGCTTCTCTTGTCCTTGGCCCCTGCTGCCCCTTCCGCCTGGCCCCGCCCATGCACTTGCCCCTCCCATATGCCTCACTCCAGTCCCCGGGCCCCCCATAGTCCCTGCCCGGGGCTGCCCTCACCTCCCGCCCTGTCCCCAGGACGGAGCCACACTGTGCTGCTGAGCATCATCTTCGGAGGCCTGGCACTGGTGGTGCTCGTCGCGCTGCTCTACGTGCTGCTGCAACGCAAGAAGCGCAACACGTGAGACCCCACCACACCAGCCCAGGGTCCTGCCCTCCTCAGCTCCCCTAGACCCTGGGGCTCTGGGGTGCCCATGGGACCCCCGCACCGGCTCTAGACCTCGTCTCTGTTGCAGGACGCCATGGACTTCGCAGCCCTGAGGGGAGCACTCTTGGCTGGAGACTCCGTACACCGGGCCCCTCGGGGGCTGCAGACCAGCCTCCCAGGAGAAGGCTCTGCACTCCCAGGAGTGAGCACCCCAATACCTCAACCCCCAAACCCTTAGCACCTGGACCTGGACACCTGATAACTGAGCCTTTAATGCCTGTGGGCCGGAGGTGCCCTGCCCTGCTGCCTCAGCCTCGGCCCCAGGCCCCGACCTCTAACCATGCTGCTCCTGAGGCCCTGTCTCCCAGTGCTCGCAACTCTAGCTCTCCGACTCGACTCCAGGCCTTTGAACCCTAACACCTGCCTCCCCAGCCCTAGCCCTCCAACATCTGATACTCTATTGCCAATACCTCCGATCTGGTGTCTGATGCCCATGCCCCAACCCCTGATATACTGAGACCTGGTGCCCTCCAACTGGAGCCCCAGCACCCAGCTGCCTTGATTCCCAGACTCTGGGCCCGGCCAAGATTGCAGGTGTGCCCAGCCCAGGGCACGGAGCGGCCACGGGATCCTGAGCAAAGTCACCCTCTGAGCTCTGAGCGTGTAACTCTAACTCTGGAATGTCACTTGAAACCTCCTCCCTGCCTTACAAAGAGAAAGAAGCCTTCGGTGCTCCTCTCGGTGTCCTGGTGCTCGTGCTGTTCCTCTAGGCCACCCGGCGGGGCCCAGAGCAAGCTGGGTCTGGTTCCTTCATCCACTGCCACTCCACCTGGGACAGGTTCCTCCTCAGCCTCGCCTCCATCTGGGAATACTGGCCACTCCGTGGGCTAGGGAGGAAGGGATGGTGTTTGGGGGTGCCACGCTGGGTACCCAGGAGAGGAGACAGAGCCAGCGTCTGCCCCTTCATCCTGTGGAAGCCTGGGCCTGGGCACCCACCCTGCCCTGTGGCCAGTGGCATGCCCACGTCCCCCGACTGGGGTCCATGCCCTGGGTCCCTGGGCTCTCCACCCAGGAGTGTCCGGAAGCTAAGGACGGAACACGGGCCCCATGCCGCTGCTGCCCACCTGAGCCCCTGCCCCTCTTCCAGGGCCAGGCCTGGAAACAGACTAGGAGCTGGCTTGGGGACAATCAGAGCCCGAAGTGCCCCTTTGTAATGAGGGAGTTGAATGGGGGTTGTGGGAGGGCCTGGACAGGGTAGGATTTGCATTGCAGGTGTCAGAGAAAGCACTGAGGGGGGTGGGATGATAGGGCGGTGCCCCCTAGACCAGCAGGCCCCTCAGTCTGAGAAGGACAGGGGCCAGGGGGTATGCTCACCTACAGGATGAAGAGCCCTGGGTGAGGCGATGAGCTGACGCCCTCTTCACAGTGGCCTACAGCACCAAGAGTGGCCACGTGGGGGCAGCAGAGGGTCAGAACAGTGAACCAAGGGGCAGGCTGCACTAGGGCCCAGGCCAGCAAGCCTGTGGTCACAACCGCAGCCCAAGTTCAGGCAGGCCCACCTTTGCATCTCCTCTCAGCTGGAGGAGCTTCTGAGTCATCCCCAGCTTCCATAACGCAGGTCTCAGAGAGGTTGCACTGGATGACCCCCCCTGGTCACCGGGGGGTCATCCAGCGGGCACCGACTGCCAGATCTCGGAGCCCAGACTTCCCCAGCCCCTCAGGCTCGCCTCTGGTGGAAGGTTCTGGGCAGAGGTGGGGTGCCAGGTGGCGGGGCAGGCTGTGTCTGCAGGGTTTCTGGAAGAAGGTGGGTGCACAGAGGGGCACAAGTGAAGGGACAGCCGAGACTGAGGGGCTTGAGGGACACCCGGTGGGGGGGGTTGCCCAGAAGACTAAAACAGGGATAGAATTGGTGCTTCCCGCCCTTCCAGAGCCCACAGCCCCACTTCCTGACCACTCTGGCATCCTGCTCAGGACAGGGTGGGGTGGAGGGACAGCCCCTTGGCTGCTGGGCAGGTACTTTCCTCTCCAGATGAAGTAAGGCAGGGCTGGCCCCCCACCAACCTGAGTCACACCCCCTCAAACGTGCACACCCCCTCAAACCCCCACCCCATGCTGAGCTAGCTCTCGCTGGGTGATTGTCAGTGGGTGAAATGTCGGTGTCACGGTCAAGGCAGTCTGGACATGAGGGAGCAGACACACAGAGGCCGAGGGGTTGGGGTGGTCTCACAGCTCCCGTGACAGGCTGCAGAGGGCCATGGGACTCTCAGAGACGGCCCTGCAGGTGCTAAGGCTCAGGAAGAGAAGTGTGGTTGGGCCTGAGGACTGGCGGCAGCCAAGGCCCCTCCCCCATCAGGCCATGGCCCTTAGGTTTCATCCTAAGAGTAAAGCCTGGCTCCCCTTAGTGTCCCCGAGTCCCACCCCTGTCCCCCTTGGACAAGCCCTAGAGCTCTTCTGACTGCCCCAGCAGGGGAAGGGGTGCACGGTCGGTCGCCCTGGCACCAGACATTAGGCGCTGTCCTTGCCAGGGGCCCGCCGGGCTGGGAAGCCCCAGCACCTGGCAGGGTTTCCCCAGGGGCCCCAACGAGTCACGGGTTCCATCTGGGCCTGTATGAGGGCAGGTTCCCAGAACCAGGCATGGACTCCCTAGAGACACCAAAGGCAGGGTCCCAAACCTCAGGGAGGTGCTCCCCAGTGCGCTCCCTGGGAATCACAACACCCAATGGCCAGCCCCCTACCCCTGTACCAGGCAGGGTTTGGGGGGCAGTGATCCAGGGACTTGGAAATGCAAGTGACGGTAGACCTGGGAAGTCAGAGGGAGCTGAGGAGACAGCCACATGCTCCCAGCCGCACCCCGGGGCTGAGGGACAACTGAGGAGGGTACCGCCCAGCCAGGTTCAGGTCCCACACAGCACGAATCCCACAGGCCTGTGGGGACCCAGCAGCAGCCGCAGAAACCCAGCCCCACCCCAGACGCCCTGGCGGGCCTGAAATGGGGGAGTGCCTCTCCTCCTCCTGTCTCCAGCCTCCCTCTGGGGACTCCTTGTGGGTGACCACGGTGGGCGGTGCTGACCAGCAGGACACAGTGAGAGCGGGCCCCTCCTTAGCCAGGCTGGTTCCTTCTGCAAGTCCCAGATGGCCCAGTGCACATCCTGGCTGCCCCCCGGCCCCCCCACCCCCGTCCTCACAGGGCTCATGGCCCAACGCCACCCATGGAGAAGGGGGTGGGCAGCGCAGGGCATCGAGCGTGTGGGAGATGGGTAAGCAAGCTGTGTGTGGTCCATCCACACAACAGAATATTATTCAGCCTTAAAAAAAGGAAGGAATTTCTGACCCATGCTACCATGCAGACAAACCAGGCGGTCATTACGCTGAGTGAAACAAGCCGGTCACGAAAGGACGTGTACTGTGGGATCCCACGTACGTGAGTGGGGCAGTCAGACTCACAGAGACAGGGTGGGGGCTGCCCAGAGCTTGAAGAGGGGTGTGAAGAGTTACCGTTTCTTGGGGACCGAGTTCCAATTTGGAGAGATGACAGAGTTCTGGAGACGGAGGGTGGTGATGGGTGCACACCAGTGTGAACGTACTCACGGCCACTGAGTGTACAGTTACCAGCGGTTAAGACGGCAAATGTTATGTACTTGTACATTTCACTACAATTAAAACTAAGGAATAAATGGAAACAAGACAAATTCACTTAATGCCCAATCAGTGGACCTGAAGCCGTGCTCAGTCTTTTGCCTCAAACACTGTTGTGCTTTGAAAACAAGTTAGGCTTACCTGTAGGAGAGATTCAAAGGAAGACCTGGCTGGTTAAACAGCACACACACTTTCCTCCTAGAACTGTACCCACTGGCACTCACCACCAGCCCACGACAGCGCCTGGCCCCCTACACCCTTGTTGGGGTGAGGGGACTTTAAATGTTTCTCCTTGCCAGATAGAAAAACCACTGGCCCACAGGCTTGTGTTAGTTTAGCTCGGCTGCATGACATTCCCAGAATTCCCTCCCCTTTGTGTCTTGGGCCGGGGTGGGCCACAAGAGATTCCTACGCAAGATCGAGAGGGTGGAAGTGAATCCAGTTTTTTTAAGCTCACGCTCACTGTGGCATGTCTGCTGACTCGGCTGGTCCGCAGGGGCAGGGGCCAGGCCCGCAACTGCTCCACATGCCCCCACCCCCCACCCCCATCCACCTGCAGCTTCCCTGACTCCTGGGCCAGGTGTGCGATGAAGGGTTCCAGCTTCTGCAAGAAATCTTGTTGCTCTTGGCAACAAGAAGAGACATGGGTTTCAGCCTATCATCTTGGGCTGCAGCCCACACTCGGGATGGCAGCCAGCTCCGGGTCCTTCTGTCTATTTTATGCCCACTTCCCCCCTGACTCCTGCCACGTGGACCCCAAGCTCCAGTGTCTGATCACAGACAAGAAGGCCATCAGCCAGCTCCCAGACTGGGCTCCTAGTTCTCAGACTGAACCCGTACTGATTGATACAAACGCGATGTCTTCAACTCTTCTTAAGTATAAGTTGTGAGAATGTAAATTGGTACAGCCACTGTGGAAAAGAGTATAGAGACTTCTCAAAAAATTAAATGTAGAATTACCATATAGTCCAGCAATCCCACTTCTGGGAGTTTATCCAAAGGAAATAAAAATAGGGTTTCGAAAAGGTATCTGCATTCCCATGTTTATTACAACATTATTCATAATAGTTAAGATATGGAAACAATCTAAATGTCTGTCAATAGATAAATAGATAGAGATAGAGAAGATGTGGTTTATGCAAACACTAGGATATTATTTTCTCTTCCATGAGAAAAAAGAAAATCTGCCAGCTGTGAAAACAGGGATGGACCTCAAGGGCACTATGCTAAGTGAGATGCATCACAGAGAAAGACAATTCCTCCCTGATCTCATTTAAATGTGGGACCTACAACTGCCAAACTCAAACAGAGAGTAGAATGGTGGCTAGGGGATGGGGGGAAGGGGTGGGGGCCAGGTAGGATGGGGGGAGGGATAGGGGGTTATTAATCAAAGAATACAAACTTCTAGCTATAAAAATTTTTTAAATAAAAATATAGCATAAGTTGCATGCCTGGAAGCGCACCACTCGGGATGCAGCTCCCTGGGTGAGTCCACAGCCAACAGCCAGCTCTGGGCCCAGGTAGCCAGCCAGCACCCGGGTGGAGAAACGGGGGCAGCACTAGCCCCGCCCCTCCGCCGGTCACTTCCTCCGTCAGGCCCCGCCCTCCCCCGCCTCCCAGGCTACCCACGGATTTCCCTCCCCGGAGACTAGTTCTGTGGAGCTGCGCGCTTGACAGAGATGAACCTGTAGAGCCAGCACTCTCTCGTGTCCAGCTTCTTGCATTTCCATGTGGATTTTAGAGTCAGCTTGCCAATTTCCACCAAAAAAACTTGTTAGGGTCTGGATTCGGGTTGCACTGAGTCTATCGATGGACGCGGGGAGAACTGGCGTCTTCCCAGCATCATGCCTTCTAGTCCATGAGCATGGGATAACCCTCCACTTGCGCAGGTCTTCTTCTAGTCCTCCCCAGTCTGTTCTGTAGCGTTCAGTGTCGAGGTCTGGCACTGAACGTCTCTGAGGTCTCGCATACCTTCATTATTTTAACTTCTGGGCTTCGATCTTTGTGTATATGTGTGTTTTGTTTTGTTGCTATTCTAAGTGACTTCAGTTCAAAGAGGTATTTTTTGTATTTGTGGCCAGTATGGAGAAATATTGTTGATTTTTG